GACGCATGTTAGTTGCATTAAAAATGAATTTTTACGTATGAAACAGTGTATTTTAAAATGAAATTGAAATTTTTTTAAAAAGGTTAACGCCTCATTCAATTTTATGTCTTCTAGGGTTTATACTGAGTACAATATTGTATAACTATCAATTCAACCATAAACGTAAAAATTTACAGCCAATTTTGAAAGACTAGCATTTTAGCTCTGGAAATTGTTATTGAATGCATCAATGCTGCTGTAATGAAATGCTTCTTCTAATTATGTGGTTATTAAATTTAAAAAAAAAAGAAAGAAAGAAAACACTTGCCTTAAGAGACATCAAGCTGGAACTGACCTGAAAACTTCCTCCCTACTGACCAGCTTTATAGTGCCAGAAGGTGCTATGCAGGCCACTGGAGGAGAAAAAATATCAATGGTAACCCTACAGCCAACCTGCATGCTACAGTACCAGCCTGCCAGGCAAGACATGTCCACTGGTACAATGCGATGTGGAAGTTAATGCGGTAATCAACTGCTTTTGGATTGGACTCAGTGGATTATTAACATGAAAAAAGAGAAGACACAAAGTGGGGGAGGGGATATATTAGGGTGCCTGCAGAACATGGGAAGGAGGAGTTGGGGTACATATGATCAAGTTGCCTTGTTTACATATATGAAATTGTCAAAGACTAAATAGAAGACAGTATTTTAAAAAGAGAGAAGAAAGCACTTGCCTTGACCCCAGCCTAGAGGAGTTAGGAAGAACTAACTCCTCAGGAGAGGCCATTTCAAAATTCTAGTTTTTTGTTTTGTTGGTTTTGGTGGTGGTGGTGGTGGTTTGCCTATTAAAGGACAAACTTTATTGAGCCCCTCAGTTCTAATTCTCTTTCTCCTGAACAGTCTTAGCTCCTCTTACCCACCCAGAAAAATAGGGAACACTTCACAAATTTGTATGTCATTCTTGCAATAGGGGCCATGCTAATCGTCTCTGTATCATTCTAATTTTAGTGTATGTGCTGTCAGAGTGAGCACCCAAAATTCCAGTTAAAGAAATGAGTATGTAGGGCTGGAAAGATGGCTCGGCAGTTAAGAGCACTGACTGCTCTTGCAAAGGACCTGGGTTTGGTTCCCAGCACCCACATGACAGCTAACAAGTGTCTGTAACTACAGTTCCAGGGGATCCAACGCCCTCTTCTGACCTCCATGGGCACTGCACAACATGGGTGCACTTACATACATGCAGGTAATACACTCATACATAAAATAAAAATAATAAAAATTTTAAAAACAAATTAAAAAAACAAAATGAGTGTGTGTGTGTGTGTGTGTGTGTGTGTGTGTGTGGTGTGCACACACATCACTGTATCTGCAAAAGTAATTATGGAACTATGTTGAATCATCTGCAAAAATACAGTGACAGCACTGCAAAAGCCATGGTATTATTGTTCGCATGCGGTTGAGCGATGTGCATATGGCATCACTATGGCCCGTGTGGAGCTGGGATTTATCCAGCTTATTTTGGATATTTTATTCAGGTTAAATCTGTAAGGCTTCCTTTCTTAAGAAACTTTCCTTCTTGTGTTTTCAAGTGTGTGTGTGTGTGTGTGTGTGTGTGTGTGTGTGTCATTCTATGTGTGACAGAGAAAGAGACAGATGAGAACTGGCACAAGAGAGCAAGTCACTGGGCAAGGAGAAAAAGAGGGTTCATGGGAACACCAAAGACCCTGCTTCCAACCATCTAGGTGAAAAGTGCCCTCCCTACAACATCCCCAGACCCTTGAACTGGGGGTCAGCTGACTGGTGTGTGTGTGTGTGTGTGTGTGTCTTTCTATGTGTGACAGAGAAAGAGACAGATGAGAACTGGCACAAGAGAGCAAGTCACTGGGCAAGGAGAAAAAGAGGGTTCATGGGAACACCAAAGACCCTGCTTCCAACCATCTAGGTGAAAAGTGCCCTCCCTACAACATCCCCAGACCCTTGAACTGGGGGTCAGCTGACTTTCAAGCACTCTCTAGACTCACTCATGCTGGGGCTTGAAATCCAGCTAGAACCACTCTGAGCAGACAATTCTAAAGACAAGCACACTTGTCCTCAGGGTACCCACTTCAAAGCCACACTCGTAGCTCTTTCTGCCTGTCAAAGAAGCTACTGGGTAGTGCCTACACTTTTGTACGGCTTCTCAAACATTGCCGGTCTTGAGAGGTGTCAGACACTCAACTGTGTAGCCTCCTGTTAGGAAAGAGAAGCTAAAGGGACAGCAAACGTTTTAAAGGGGGCTTATTGAAAGGAAGGGAAAAACCATTAAATTGCCATAGCTTCCCTGAGTTTTTCATACTAAGTGACTCAGAAGGGGGTTCAGAGAAAGGGAGGAGATAATTCAATACTGAAAACAGCTACTGGAAACCAATTCCGGATGCTCTTAAGGCTTGTGACTGTTTTTCATGATTGCAGGGACAGGTCTCTGCATTAGCTGATAGACAAACACTACTTAGTATAACATGAGAAAATTCATTAGCTAATTAATATGCCTATAGTTCCAGGTTAAATGCTGTGCAAAGGATACCTTGTCTTTACATGCCAAATACCTTTCAAGATAACAGAGTGTCAGATTGTTTCTCCAAATTCAATTCAGTCACAAAGTGTTTATTATAGAAATAACCTAGAGCCAGGTGTGGTGGTACACACCTGCAATCCCAGCACCCAAGAGGCTCAGGTGGGGGATGGTAAATTCAAGGTAAATAAGAGGCCCTATCTCAACAAACATTAAAAAGAAGTAGTATAAAATCCATTTCATTCTCTGTAGATAGAAAACCATCACTATTGATTTGATGTTATATATCTTTAGGAGTTAGAGGAATGTACTTTGACAATCTTTATTTATTTATTTATTTATTGTCTTTTTTTGAGACAGGGTCTCCCCCATAGCCCCAGCTGACCTGGAACTCCTTATGTAGACCAGGCTGGCCTCAAACTCACAATGATCTGCCTGCCTCTGCCTCCCGAAGGCTGGGACTAAAGGCGTGTGCCACCACGCCCAACACTTATGACAATCATTTAATCATTGACGCACAGACATTAAAACTTGGGTAATTAGTAGCAGTGAGTTGCTGACATTAAGTTGGCTTGGCTTCTTCATGCAGACATTAATAGGGACAAAGAACAACTTGTTGAAGCAGCAAATATTGTTCCCACATGCAAGGTGGAAAGATAGATAGAAGAAAACAAAGGGAGGGTGGGCCATGCCATCCAGAACCATGACTACAAGGATGCAGAATAATGTGGAGGGAAGATGCAGGGGGGGTAAGGGCCACAAGACAGGAAAAGTTTGGTGATAAAGGCATCTGCCTAGCAGTGAAGAATGTGAAGATGTGAAGAACAGGGAGCTAGGCACTTTGGTGGCAGTCTCTGGGGCTGCCTGGAAGATGGAGAGGACCCAAAGAGGTGGATACATCATTGGTTTCCATGGTAATGACTAGACTGTCACCATCAGAGCATGATGATTTCAGATGACTTCAGAACAGGCAATACTAACATCGCCTCCCCAGTCCCTCCCAAGGCTCTGGGGGTTCATTCATTCATTTTCACAACACTTGTAAAGTGTGGAGTCTTATCCATTTTATTTGAGAGATTAAGAAACTGAAGCGGGAGCAACCTAAGCAGACACAATGCCAGAAAGAGTGTATTTCATTCTCAAAGCATAAACTCATAGGAAAATTAATATGAAGACTGCTTTATTGCTGCTGGTGGTAATATGATGAGTATTTTGAATAAATCCTTTTTACAAGACACATTATCATTGTTTATAGGAAACAAATCCTGTTTCCAAAAAGGGTCTTCTATTTCTCCTTTGCCTACATGAAAGAAAAGACAAATTTTTTTATCTGATCGACAGCTCAGCACTGCTTTCCAAAATTTTTTCATCAGAAGCTGTTGGTCTGTCATCCCCACATGTTTTTATTGCAAATGACATCTTGAGGGGGCTTTTTCTTTCCCTGGGCTTTGTGTCATGTTAGTCTCTTTAATTCATCTGTCCCCCTATAACCCTCCTTCAAACACACCCTCACAGCCAGGGTTGGGACCTGTGACTGTTCATGTATAATACACAGCAGGACACTAACAGCCATGGAGGAGTCTAGAGTGCCGCTAGGAGGCTTTGGAATCAGACATGCTGGGCTTCCAGCAGAGTGACCTGGAACAGCTTTCTCTAACCGAATTTTCTCCATCCGTAAAATAAGATTATGTTAGTATGAGTTTCTTCAGGCTATTGTGAGAATAAAACTGGGTAATACATAGAAAGCGTTTATCAAGGGTTATTGCTGATGCTGAGGTTATGAAAACTTAGGAGTCCCCCCCCTTTCATTCACATTTTATTTCACAGTTCTCACCTTGGCTCAGAAGCTTCTTTTGGGGAGTTTTCTCTGTTCCTGTCTTGAGGAAAATGAGAAAAAATGCTCAGAAAGTTTGTCCATGCCCAACATTGGTTAGGGCTTCAGGAAGTAGCTGACAGTCTACAGATCCAAGGTCAAAAATTTTATAGGCATTTCCTCACTACAAACCAGCCAAACTTGAGCAACGGTTGCACAGCTCAGACCCTTAATTTTCTCTTCTGTGGAATGTCATTTAAAATACCTACTACATGGGGACCTTGTGCATGTTAAGTTGACGGTGTGTGTGAAAAATGCCTTGACCGGGGGCAGAGTGCACAATATATGCTCAGTAAAGTATCAGCAGAGTGTCAGCATGAATTAAACATATTGCGTATCATTTTCACATTCCTAGAATGTAATAGTGATTAAATTATTGGTATGCCCCATGATGCAGTCTAAAATCATAGAACATTTATCAACATGAGAAAATGATCATGATTTATTATTTAATGGAGAGTATTTTACATCCTTTTTTCTTTTTATTGAATTTTTGTACATTTCATAAAAACATCTTACTCATCTTTATGAACCCCTCCTCCATCCAAACTCCCCCATATACCACCAGAGTTCATGCGTTCTGTCATATATGTTAAGGCTTATCAAGTCAAGTTAGTGTACCCAGACATCCCTGAGTACTAGTTCATCCACTGAGGTCTAGTCAGCCTATTTTACATCCTTTTTAAAAGTTGTACATATTCATGTGAATAGGAAAAAGTTCTTTTAGGATTTTGTCAGAATGTTAACCAAGATTATCTGTCAGTTTTGGCTCCGTGTACTCTGTGTGTGTGTGTGTGTGTGTGTGTGTGTGTGTGTGTGTGTGTCTAGTTTCTATGTTCTGCGTTAAACATCAATCCCTTTCTATTTAAGGACAGAAAATAAATACAAATTTTCAAAAGGCAAGTGAGGTAATAAAAAATATGATCTAGTATTCTTAGGTTTATAAAGCCTGAAAAAGGAAGCAGAGCTCTGAACACAGCAGGGGTTGTACACAGAGTAAGGATCCACCAGGAAAGGCGGTGGGGGGGGGCGAGTGGAAAGTAGGGAAGTGGGGTCAGAGAGAGGCCAAGCATTAAGTCAGAGCTAAGACTCAGAGGGAGCATGTGTTGCTGGAATTGAAGGACATGGGGGCCATGGCTTAGCTAGGCAGGCCACAGACAATCAAAGTTCATGGGGGAGCTGATGGGTTTCTGAGCCCAAGAGGCGTTGAACCACCTTGCCCTTTCTGCCTCAGATCCACAGAAAGGTTGATTTACTCTCTTGCTTACACAAAAGCTAATGGATGACTTAGGTGGTCTCTCTCTCCTGTGGCTTCCAAGGAGACTTTGATTTACTGAAGTTTGATTTACTTTCTTCCAGTAAGCAATAAACTAAAAGCTGTTGCCACTAGGTGGCATGCCCCAAATACTATTTAACTTTGAAACTGCAGAAAAGTTGGCTGGGAAATCTCTGATGCACTGCATCAAAAGCATTTTTAGTGGCAGCAAGATGAAGATCATTGAAGGTTTTCAGTTTCTTCCTATTAAAGACAAAGCACAGCAAACAAAACCACACCACCTCTCCTTACCCACCCCCCAGCAAATGCTGCTCTCCAGAGCAATGAAGTCAACGTGCTTCTCACAGACACATTGGAGAGTCTCATCAAGAGACCTTTGTCCTCCCCACCAGTGCTTATAATCAACAATCTCTTTCACCAACCAAAATAAGTAAGTGGCCCCTAAAATACTCCAAAAGCAGAAGTGGGTCTTTGGTGTCATCAAGGAATAGCATCCAGCCGTAGGTATAAGAGTATCATTAGTTGAAATATGACGAGAACGGTCCCTGTGTAGCATCTGTTACAGTTAAAGAAGGACGAGAATGGTACCCAGGCCAAGAAGACTATACTCTTGACCTCATAATCTCTTTGAATATCAGTGCTATTATCAGAACCTCTGTATTGATCTAGAGTGATCAGTCATTTGTACCTTAGCATGGAGTAGTTTTCTCCAGTTTCTTCACCTCAGTTTCCATACTTTGGATCATCCCATAAAATCTGGATTTTGGCCCTGGCATGGTGGTACATACCTGCACCCCAGAACTCTGAGCCTGTGCCAAGAGAACTGCTGTGAATTCAAGATAAGTCTGTGCTTATAGTGAGTTTCAAGCCAGCCACAGCTATATGACAAGACCCTATTTGACAAAAACAAAGACAAACAGGATTTTGGTTAGGTAGGGATAATTCTGGGGCAGCCAGAAAGAATAAGATAGAGTGAGTCATTGAACTTGGGGCTTTGCATCACTCGCTAAACTCTTGGCATGTTTATTTTCATTTCTCTGCAAAGCAAGTTATTTCTTTAACAATAACTAAAGTAATTCCTTCTTAAACACACAGAACTAACTTATACCAGAGTGAGTGATCTAAGACTGCATCCTGCGAGGTTTGTCTCCTCAGTTATCGTCCACAGGGCTCTGAGAAGTCATAAGAGCATGTAGGCATGGACTTGAAGTCCAGCTTCATCTCCAACACTGGGAAAAAGGACTGTACATACACTAAGGAGCATAGTCCTAGGCTCCCCTATGCCACTAGGACAGAGTCTGGGGAAGTTGACACTGGACTGCAGGCACTTTTATGAGAAGTGAACAGATGAGAAGCTAGAGTGGATGGAGAAAGAATTGAAAGGAGGAACTGATGGAAATGGAGGTGGCATGACCTTTTTTGCAAGTGTCATTTACAGATTTGCCTTGTGCTACCTGTGCTAGAAATGTAAAGAAATATAGCATTTGGTATTGCTGACCACAATGTATAGCTCTAACAGAAGAGGCTGGGGAGATGGCTCAATAGGAAAAGACTTTGTCAAGCAAGTGTGAGGACCAGAGTTTGGATTTCCAGCATCCCTACAAATGCATTATAGGCAGGCATGGTAGCCTGCCTATAATCCCAGCACTCAGGAGGCAGAGAGGGATCCCTGGAGCAGGTTGGCTAACCCTATTAGCCATATCCACATGCTCCAGGTTTATTCAATGACTCTGCCTTTATGTATAAGGTAGAAGGCGATTGAGGAAGGTCCCCGACAAGGATCTCTTGCCTCCAAACGTGCACACGCATGCATACTCACACACAAATGTGCACCCACATACATGTAAACATACATATGCACAGACAGAAAAACCATCAATTAAAAAGACTCACATGGGAAATTTCTCAGATCCTCTTATTTAAATAAATTAAATATAAGAGATGTAACAGTAAATATAAAGGCAGATTTGTTTGTTTTGTTTCTTGAAACAAGGGGTTTTTTGGTTTGTTTTTTGTTTTTTTGTTGTTGTTGTTGTTTTTGGTTGGTTGTTTTTTTTTGGGGGGGGGGTTCTTTTTGAGACAGGGTCTCTCTGTAGCCCCAGCTGTCCTGGAACTAACTATGTAGGCCAGGCTGCTTATCCTGGAACTCATTGTATAGCTAGCCCAGGCTGGCCTGGAACACACAGCAATCCTCCTGCTTCAGACTCCCAAGTGCTGGGATTATAGGTATGCACCACCATATCTGGCTAAGGACAGATTTTATTTTAAAGGAAACACACAGCACATAGAAGAGGATATTATTAGTTTCAAGTTAGTTGCCTTGAGAAGCTGAGTGTTCATTTTGATGATGTAAACCATTTGGGGATCTTCTCTTTTTAAATTGATTTTAATATCTAATACATACACTTTGAAAAGCCATAGTGCTAACAAAATACTATTTGTTTTTAAAGTGTATTCCATTTGTTCATAAAATGAAAGTTCATTGGGAACTAAATTTGGCAAAAAGATAGGAAAGATGATTGATAGGAATGGTCTTCTGACAAATATGAGGTAGACTGTGACCCATCAGAAGTCACACTGGTGCCCGTTTCACCTTGTACCATTTAATTAGCTTTGTGAACCTAAGAAAGTTAGAAAAACATTTGTGCCTCATTTTTCTCATCCATAAGATACAGGTTATAATAATACATGCCTGACAATGCTGCTGTGAGATAACATACATGAAATATTACACAGTGGTGCTGATACTTATAAATAGATAGTGGTTGATAATGGTAAATTCATAACAGCCACAATAATATGTAGCTCATGAACTCAAGGAGACTATTTTTTAAAGGTAGTCCTCTAATCTAACTTTCACTAACTTGCATGTGTCTTCTGACATATTTTTCCATCTTCATTTTTGCTTATGAACCAACCCTTATTTAAGCCCAGGTGACATGTGTTTTCAAAGAGCTTCTCCGGTCTGTAGATCTTCAGTTTCTGCATCCATTATTTTAAATTATTGTACTGATGCAGTAAAATTAAGATACTCTATTCCCTAGACGTGTCAATTTGTATGTCTTATGTTAATTTACAATAAAAATATGAGAGTAGTATAAATCATTTTTTTAAATTTCTAAAATAGTGCTAACCAGTCAGTGAGTAAAACAGATCTACTCAATCAATCAAACTGATCATGAATTTGGAACTTCTAGGACTGGGCTACCCACCAGAGATAGAGAAATGAGCTAAATCGATAGACCAGGTAGACAGAAAGTGCTGCAGTTCTTAGAACTACTTTCAGCCTAAGGTTGCATTGGGGGGGGCGGTTATTGTGAGGAGAGAAAGGGAGAGAGAAAAAATCTCTAGAAAAACACCCAAGATATTTGCAATAGTGGCTGCCTGTGAGGCAGAAACATCATTTCACTCTTTTGAAATGTCTGAGTAATCATGTGCATGCATTACCTTTTCAAACACTAAATAAAAGTTAAAAATCAAGACCTACAAATAGACCAAGAAATTGAATGGTTTGTTCATATCTGTGACGCTGTCCCATCTGTTCTGAAACAACTATATGAGATCTTTATACTTGTTTACCTCTTAAGAAGAAAATTAAATCATTCACTTCACTATAGAACTGTTATTGATCCCCAGCCATTAATTACTCCTAATTTCCATCATACACACACAGTAACAGCTGTGCTATCAATCAAACAATCCACATGCCATGGTGATGGCCTGCTGAAATGCTTTGCTAAATGAATTTGGTTGTGGAGGGGTTACCAGGATCTTGCCATCTGGCTGAGTAACCATTCCCAAAGCTGGTGAGCAGGGTCTGCACAGGCCACTCATACAGCGTCCTCATCCATCAGCAGTGTGCCTCACTAAGCAGTGACCTTCCTCTGTGACTGCTGGGGCTCATTTTCCCCTCTGAGGCTCATTACTATGTACCAGACTCCAGAGAACAATATGTCCTTCAGCCTTAACCTTGTCAAGGAATCCATCAATCAATCAGCAAGCATTTATTAATCATCTCCCACATTCAAGGTACCGTGATAAATACTTTGGAGGTTGTCAAAAAATATGAGGTGGTTTCTAACCTATTAGTTTATTGTCTAGTTGGAGAGATGGAATACATAACCACTCAGAAAGTAGAATCATACAAGGCAAGATATTGAAAGTGACAAATTCAGAAGTGAAGGCGGAAAAGAAATAACGTTTATCAATGGCCTGTGCAGGCTGCAGGGTGCCTCTCATACAGGCTTCACTCAATCATCCTGCCAGCCCCACTCCTAACTCCGTTTTATAGCCTCAAAGATTAGAAAAGTTGTGTAAAATCACATGGATAGATAATGGCAGAGCCGTTAAAACTTCCATCAGTCTGATTTCAAGGCTCTGTTCTCCTGATTCTAACATGTTGTCCCTCCCAGGGTATACTACATTCCCTAACAAAAATAAATGCTCTAAGAATTTTCTGGAAGGACTTATCACTGAGTAGTAACATAGGCATCATGAATAGAATGTGGAATTTGAGGAACTCTTGAAAGAGGTTTAAAAAAAACCTGATGGGGAAAACATTAAAGGTAGGGGAAGGAAGACAGCTATGTTTCTTCCATGTCTAAGAAAGGCCCTGCAGAATGGTGTAGAAACTGGAGGAAAGAGTGTTTCATATTGTGCCCAATCCTGTTGTAGCAAGGCCTTCAGAGTAAAGACATGCTTTGGGGGCCAGCCTGCTAGAAATCAGTGAGCCCTTCTGGGGAGGCAGCCATTCTTGGGGAAGGAACAGCATCCCAAAACCTTACATCACTCCTTAGTGAGACGATGTTTATCATATTTATCATACAAATCTAGCAATTTCACATGATTATAATCAATGAATACATAGATTACATATGGAGATAGATGATAGATAATAGATCTACAGATAGATGATCGATAGATGATAGATAGATAGATAGATAGATAGATGACAGATGTTAGATATAGATAGATAGATGATAGATAGATGATAGATAGTTGAGAGATAGATAGATAGATGATAGATAGATAGATGATAGATAGATATAGATAGATGGATATAGATAGATGATAGATAGATATAGATAGATGTTAGATAGATAGATAGATAGATAGATAGATAGATAGATAGATAGATAGATATGATAGATGATTGATTGATGATTGGTAGATGATAGATGATAGATAGATATTTAAGATATAAATAATTTGAGCCAAGTCCGACATGAGAAAATATTTGTAATGGCAGGCATCATGAACTCTGACACAGACAGGAGGGAATCAGGCTCTTTCTCTTTGTCAATGCTGGTTGCTAAGGGTATGGACTGTGAAGGCTCAGCATAGAGGAGACACGTATAGTGTAAAACATGATATTGTAAAGGCAAAGAGTAGAATTGGGACTGTAGTTACTTTTCTGTTGCTGTGGTAAAACATCATGACCAAGGCAACTTAGAGAAGGGAGAGTTCATTTGCTTATGGTTCCAGAGGGATAAGAGTCCATCGTGGTGGGGAGGGGACGCATGGTAGCAGAGGTGACTGGAGCAGAAACCTGAGAGCTCACAGCTTCAAACACACAAAGGAAGCAGAGATAGACTGGAAGTATGACCAGGCTGTGAACTCTCAAACCCACCCCCAGTGACATACTTCCTCTAGCAAGGCCACAGCTCCTAAACCTCTGCAAACAGCACGCCAGCTGGGGACTAAGCGTTCAAATAATTGGGGCCTATGGAGGACATTTTTATTCAGACCACCACAGGAGCCCATAATGGTCTTCCAGATCCTTGTGTTCTGTTGCTGCATGTCACCCATCCTCTCTTGCTTTGTTTCTCATATTGACTAATAAGCTGCTCTGTGAGAACATTCCATCTGCTGTTTCATGTTGATAAGTTACCTCAGCATTGTTCTTTGTCCCACACCCCACATCTGACCCATTATCAGATTCTGCTGTCTCTGCCTTTGAAATGTACCAGAATCCAACCAAGTCACCACCTCCGCTGCAACACTCTGCCCGGTTTCACCGCCACTCCCCTGTGTTGTTGCTGAAGCCTCTTCACTGGTACCCCTAGAGTCTATTCTCAACAGCAACCAGAGTGATTATGTTAAAACACACACCAGATCATAAAGTGTTCTGCCCCAACCACCTCAGAGACATCCTATTCCACTCAGTGTAAAAGCCAAGGCCACTAAATGGCCCTCAAAGCCTACAGATCTACCTCCCCTGACCCACTGTTTCCACCATTCCCCAGACACACTTACAGCTTTCCCTTTTCTGAGCAAGATGCCTCCTCCCTCAGGGATTTCTGTTCCTTCTGTCTGGG